GGTGCCCCATGTTTGCCCTGGGGGAGAGCATCTGCTCTTGTCTGCTGGGCTCTCTCGGTCAGAAATGGCACACCATGGTGTGATGGACTCTACCGGTCACTGTTCATCGGCATTGTAGGTGTGAAATTCCCAGGAATCCCCAGTACGGCTGCTTCAGAGTCCAGTAGTTGAATCAGAGAGAGGATGGGAAAGGATGTGTTAGACCTTTTGGTCAGACATCATCACCGTGTCTAACTTGAAACCCACAGTCTAATATTTCTAGGGCCCATTCTTGCCTCAGGACATAAACTTACAAAGCACTCATTGAACTAGTCTTGGGTTTGTAAAATATTTTCTTTCCTGGTTGTTAGGTTTTAATGTAATTGATTTTATAGGACATTTCAGGTGTCTGACAGTCAGTGACTCATGGAATATACTCACCACATGTAGTCAGCGCCTACACTCAGTGCCCTTAATTGACAGTTACAGGAGCGTTGTTGGTGGTGGTGATGGGGAGGCCTTTCATTGGGCCTCTGGGTGTGTCACCAACATGACCTGGAATAACCCTGTTACTTTAAAACCTTACTGCAACTGTGGCAAAATCGGGTTGCAGAAATAATTTAAAAACTTGGAACCAAAGCAGTGTTCTTGCTATTACTTCAATGAGATGCTGGAGTCCAGTGACGCTGTCTTAGCTTTTACAGTATAAAAAGCACTCAAGGGTTCATCTCTTCTTTAGCTGTTAAGGTACTTTGATGTCAAGTTACCACATGTTAATTGAGTACACCAAAACAGTAGCACACAGCCAGGGAGCAAGAGCTCATTCAACATTAATCTTGCCATGGTTAAACCACTCTATCCTCTAAAAGGCAGAAAAGAAAAGCTGCACTGTATATTTAGGGGAGGTGAATTTACACATTTTCCCCCAATCTATGTTTAGTTTTAGGGAACTATTTTTAGTAACTTTATTACAGTCAGTCAATAAATCTGTGCATGCAGAATTACTGCTAAACGGTCAAAAGTTTTATTAGTTTTTTGACCCAGGTGTTGCTCCATTCAGGAAAGCTAGAATTTTTGTGGTCACTGTTAAAAAACTCTAATAAGCATCAGTATTGTTTTCTCTGGGGTTTTTTTAGTGACACATAGAAAGAAGGACCATTTAGAGACCCCAGACGGTTGGCAGGAAGAGGATTTGTGTACTAGCGGAGAGTTTAAATTGAATTCCCCGTGTGGGCAGCTGGTGGTCTGATATGCACAGACTACAGGGCTAGGTTTGAGCAGGCTCCACTCTTTTATATACATTCATCTTACAAAGCGGTTCTCATTGAAGTGACGTTCAATTTGCCATGGCTGTTGGTACCAGGTGGCTGATCTGAACATTTCAGGAATTGCTGATCTACTGGGATTTTCCTGCACAGCCGTCTCCAAAAATGCCTCGCTGATGTCAGAGGACAATGCCAAGCAGGGGCGTAATTTCCAGGGGGGTTAGGGGGGTTATGACCCCCCCCCCCCAAAAAAAAAAAAATAATAATAATAATAATAATCAGACCCAGTCGATATAACCCCCCCAATAAAATTATGAATTATCTTGCATAAATAGGCTGTTGATTTTCTTTACTCATTTCAGTTATTAACCAGCAAAATAGTTGCATGTTTAATCATCTGGGAATTTACCCATATTTATTTATTTATTTAGACAGAGATCTTGACCCCCCAATGTTCACAAAGCTACACCCAGGATGCCAAGACTGCTATGAGCCAACAGGATGGCATCAACAACTCAAATAATTACTTGTTAGAATCATTGTATGCAGAAGAGCAGCTCTTAATACAATTGCAAGTCTCTTAATACATGCTTTAGATGGACTACAGCAGCAGAAGACAACACCAAGTGCCACTCGTGTCAGCTGGGAACAGGAAACTGATGTAACAATAGACGATTGGAAGCCTTCAGATCAGCCTTATCATTGTCTGATCTGACGAGTCTTGATTTTAACATTTTGCTGGTAGCATTGCAATTTGTCCGTTTCAATAGTGTGGTGGATATTTTCTTTGCACTTTTTGGGCTCCTTAGTACCAATTGAGAATCATTTTAACTCCAGAGTCTAACTTAACATTGTTGGCGACCATGTCCTTAGTGTTTCCATCCTCTGATGGCTGCTTCCAGCAGGATAATGCACCATGTCACAAAGCTCAAATCATCTCAGTGAGTTCACTGTACTCACAGAGTTTCCACACTCGCTCAATCCAAGAGAGCACCTTTGGGATGTAGTGGAACGCAAGATTCACATCATGGATGTGCAGCTGACAAATGTGCAGCAGCTATGTGATGCTATCATGTCAATATAGACCAAAATCTCTGAAGAAATGAGACAGTTCCAAAAGCAAAAGAGAGTCCAGCCCAATACTAGCAAAGTATACCTAATAAACTGGCAGGTGAACATTATCATTCATTTAATTTACACAATCCTCTCTTCTTAAATTGAGTAAAAAGCAACAGAAATTATGTTGTTTATTTTTAGTCTAATGAGTTGTAGGCCATGTCTGACCTGTACTAGATTAATAAGTGATTTAAATCGGTGAGATGGGATTTACAATTTGCTGTACCAGTCATGAAAACAAAGGGCACAGAGGTTTGTCCTCTCTAAAACAAAAAAGAGGGAAGAATGTGAGAGTTGTTGTTACTGCTAAACTTTGCCGCACTGCACTGTACTGTATTTACACCACAGCTCTGTAGAGCCCCTAGTGGCTAGGTAGGATGTTGCGTGTATTCACGTTCCTAAATACCAATTTTAGATCAATCATATCTCTTTTTTTTTTTTTTACTTTCTCCCTCTTTCTTTCTATTTCTCTATATCTTTCATTTTATTGTATGGGTTTTTGTTTTTTGTTTTCTTTTGGTTGCAAAGTCTGATGGCAGCCTGTCGTGACACATCTAATTTTCCTTATCGCATGACCACTTAGTGCTACTTTTATCAATTTACCATCTTTAGGGTAATGACCATACCTGATTATATTGCAGACAGTAAACAAACAGCAGCTTTCAGATGTTGGATTAGTCTTTTCTTTATCACCAAAGCCTCCGATTAAAGACATAAAACACCACAGAAAGGCTGTCCATGTCACTGGTTTTGGAGGATTAGTGTTTCTTAGCAATGAAGTACACAGAAATGACTTTGTCTCTTCTTTCTCTGTCATTGCTCTACCAAACCATTTTCAGCTGTCTCAATCCCCAGTCTCGTGTCTGAGTTTTCACAGCCTACAATGAAGGCAGCCCATAACTTTAAGTACTGTTTTGTGGACCTGTGTAAATTTGACACCATTATGCCACTGAGAGGGTCTGTGTAGGTGTTAATGTTAGCATGGGAGATTGCCAGAGATCTGTATAATGCCTGCTTACCTCATCATGTGCTGCCAAAAAGTTCTCCTTTACTCTTACATTATGCTGACATTTTGGTCCTTCTGCTCTGCTCCGAGATCTCTGGCTGTCTTTTTTGTTGTTGTTGTTGCGGTATTCATATTTGTCCCAGCTGCTCTTTTGCTTATCCCTCTTCCTGGTCCTGTTCAAGGAGCTAGCACTGTATCCTAGAGCGCTGTCCTCTTATTTAAACTTAATGCCTTCTTTTTCTGCAAAGGTAAATCAAACTGAGGCCAACAGATTTGCCAGTAGTGGTGGATGTAGACATGTCCTGTGATGATGTCTTTTTTTTTTTTAAATAATTTTTAGCATCAAGGTTTAACTTTCATGCTATGATCTTGAAGTTGGCATGCAGCAGCTGAACTTCCACAGAAACCTAACTAGAAGTGATTTAAAGTATAATGTGTTTTTTTGTTTCTGAAGTCTCTATTACCAGTTGACTTGTACCTTAACTTTAACCTTAATTTGTTTTAGTGTACTTTTCTTTCACTTTACAGCCCCGTTTTGCTGCCACTGCCCAGTTTAAACTGGCAGACTTGGCAGAGCAAGGTTTGTGTGTGGTGGCACTGGGGGCAGGGTGCAGAGCTTGCCTGGGCTGACTGTACCCAGCCTCTCATAATTACGGACAGTAAACAGCTAGTGCTTTTAGGTCTGATTTTCCCTGTCTCATGGGGAGAGAGTTCACTTTGGCATGAGAAAAAAAGGCAGAGAGGATGAGAAAAGGGGAAAAGACATTCCGAAGGTGGACAAAAAATGTCATCCTTATTCTTGGTGATGAATATGGAAGCAGTTTGCAAAGAGTTATAAACACACAGACAGTCATTGTGCCCACCCCCAGAACTTAACACACACACACAGTCATAGTCCTTCCTGAGCAGCAGTCGTTTGATGTGATCTTATAGTAAGTCTTAATTAAAACTTCCAACACCCCCTGGTTAAGTATGTGTTTGGTCTTTTTCCTTCACTCCCTGAAACTGTCAAACTGATCACCTATTTTATGTCTCTCTCTGTGTCTGTGTTTTTCTTTCCGTCTGCCTGCCTGTCTATGTCCTTCCCCTGTCTCTTTCCACTATTTCTAAAGCGAAGCCCTTCTGTCCTACACCCAATACTTGGTCTAAATTTACTTTTGGTCTTCCTTCTTTTCTTTCTTCATTTTAATTTCCTAGACATTTAACACAGTCACTGGCAAACTCTCACACTTTATCTCTCCCTATTGCATTTTGAGGTTTCACTGGCATAAGTTGAACCGATTTTGCGACATTATATTTCATTCATAAGGTCCAAACTAAGCACCAAACTAATAACTCTCTGTGTATTCAAATGATTTGCTGTATGACATATCTGTTTCTCCATCTTCTTCCTCATTGCTCTTTTTCTCTGTCCGTGCACTGCACGGCACTAGCAGGACTGGAGGTTTTCTTTGGCAGCCTGCTCCCCCTCTCTTGGCTGAGACAGGGCCTGTGCTACTGGCTGGGAGTGTGGAAGGGAAGCAGGGAGGTAGTGAAGGCAGAGGGGAGGGAGAGAACGGGCTTGGGAGGAGAGAGGCTGGAGGGGTAGAGGCGTGGTCTCAGCTGGTAATGAAGTCTTCTCTTTTCATCCTCAGAAGGCAGAGTGGGAGCGAACGGGCCCGGGGTCTGCGCAGCTCCACAGCCTTCTCTGCCTCTAAAGTGTGCCGAGCGCTGCTCCGCTCTGCGCTGCCTGTGCCTGTCTCAGTTCCCGTCTGCCACAGCTGAGAGATACAAAGATACCAAGACTGAAAGAGACCGCTACAAACATGAAGCTTTTCCTTGCATCGGCTCCACAGCGCTACTCTTGAGGTAAGACTTCCTTCTTTATGTGCTGCTCCTGACCGTGCCTCGCTATGTGCTCTGCTTTACTGTCCGTCAGTCTCTGTTGATTGTTGTGGTGGGGGCTGGGAGGTGGGGGTGTAAGGGGGCCTGTCCAGGTTAAGTCACTCCCACTTTCATTATGCATGTGTACGTGTGCGCACGTGTTTGCCCATACAGTGTGACCAGTTGTAGGTAGCTGTGTTTTGGCTCATGTGAGAATGCACCTCTGAATATGCAGCATGTGTGTGTTTGTGACTTGTGCACAAATGAATGCAGTCAGCGTCAGCAGTGAAAGGTTTATGTTAATGGTGACAAATGGGTTGTAGCCATGCAAAGAATGTGGCTGAAGCACACATGAAGGAAACAGGATGAAGTGGCAGGCATTATTAGAAAAAAAAAACTTTGGAAAAGTAAGGTGAAAGTGACTCTTCTGTAAGAATGTTTTGGTTTTTTAAAAATTGCTTTGTTTGTCAGATGAACTTAATATCACTCTTTTTACTGCCCTTCTGGGCTAGTGTTAATGTAATATAGAGCCATAAAGTCATTTTAAATGAGCTGCTAAATAGTGTGGTGTTACTGCACCTGAGTGTTTGGCCACATGTGGATATTTATTTATTCGCACTGTTTATTGCTGTTGAATGCAAAAGGCTAGTGGGGCCCATCTCTGTAAATAAAAAGGACAGCAGGCACTCATCTGCAGCCCAGTGACACCAGGCTTTGAAGTGATTTCAGTGGATCTGTCCTCCTCCCCGCTGGGCATTTCAGATCCGGCCTGCAACTCTCTTACTTTCATCCGCATTCCCTTGGAAATCCATCCATCTGTATTCTTTCACACACCTCCTTCCTGATCCCATTCACCCCATGAGTTCTTGCACCCTGAAACCCCTCTGCGAGGCCTTCACCTCCTATCAGCACCTCCTGTATTTTCATAGACAGTATTCCTACGGTTTTTATTCTCCGTCTCATCTGACGTGCTTCCAGGGAACGGGTCTTTCCGATACCTCTCCCAGAAAAAAGAAAAAAAAAAAGCTAAGTGACTTTCCATTAGTTTTTGCTAGGCCATGAGAATTATGGTTTCCCAAATGAATGGTGTACAGGAGCCTAGCTTAATTGAAAAAACACAAGCATGGTCTGCCATGAGGAGACGGTCCTTGTGTCACTGTTGAACTGTGCGAATGTACTTTCCAGAGCTGGCGAGGGGGAGAGAAGGAGAGAGAAAATACAAAAAAGAGCATGAGAAGGAGTACAGACAGAAGGCTGGGGCAAACAGATTTATTAAATAATAGTGTGGAGAATGAAAAGGACTGATTGAAAACATTGGTGGTGTTACACAATGCCGATCGAGCAGCAAATAAAAATGAATCAGCAGAGGGCATCAAATTATATAAAAGTTCTTCTAAAGAGAGCCAGAAGAGGAAAAAACAGTTCAGCGTGAGTGAACTTCCAGTTTGGCTTCAGAAAGGATAGTTTGGATAAAGTGAGATTTTAGTGGCAAAAAATGACATAAGACTCGCATGTTGAGGCAGTTTGCTAGCACTTTAGCCCCAAGGACAACAATAGAACACAATAGAACTGCACAGTTCTGCAAGTTTGACTTGTAAAGCACTCTAACACACACTATCAATATCTGCCTTGCCTCCTGCATTCTCTCCATCGTATTTCTCTTCTTCCCTTCCACTCCCCCACTCCCTTCACTGTGTTTGTGTGAGATACTTGTGAGGCAGCCCCATATTGTGATGATTGAGGCCCTGTCATTGGTTCAGATGGCACATTTGTCAGACACATGTTTGCCAGCAACTGCTGTTGCTAGGGTGCGCGGCGCTGCTGTGGAAAGCATCTCTTGTTGACTTCCTCACTGGGTGGTTCATGTGTTTGTCAGGTCACCGTAACCCCTGACACCATCACCACCTCCTGCTTTTCGTACTGCCTGCTAATGTAACTCTAGACTCCCAAAGAGATTACCGCCACGCTCATGCATCACTGCTGACATAAGGAAACATAAAAGATCAACATTCGCAACTGCAAGAGGATAACAAAAAGTATTTGTTGTAAGAATCGTTCACAAGAATCCTCTGATGAAAACACATGCAGGCAGCCTTCACTGGAGAATGTGTTAAAAAAAAAAAAAAAGATAACCCCAGGACTTACTACTGATTTACTACTCCAGAGGTGGCACACACATATTATTTGTGATAAGTGCACTTTTTTTCAATTTATCCTCACTGACAATTATTAATCAGAATCCATCAACCAGATACAGATGACTTATTGACATACCCAGTCTAAGGATTGCATGTAGTTCTGTGTCTAAGGGGCGTGACAATGGTTTAAAGGTTGGTTTATTATCAGCTCAGCAGGTACGTAATACAGTGGAGAATATTCCAATATTCCATTAATTTTTATGTTGAGTGATGTCATCATGACTTTCTGACTTCTCTGGCTTAGTGCTGGCAGGACTGAGATGACTTTCATTATAATTTGGTAGTGAAAGGTGAACGGTGACTTCAGTGCTCATGTCTGCTCTGTCCTTCCTCCGTGGGATTAGAATAGAAATATAGAATAGAAATATCCCGTATTGTCAGTAACTGGGGAAATTCAAGTGTTCCCGCAGCAAAGTGACAGGCAGATGGAGCATGGAGATAACATAATAAAAAAAATACTGTCCAGTTATTAAGTTATTAAAAATGTAAAAGATTATTAAAAACAGAAAATGGAAAAACTGTGCAAATAACAGTGGTGTTATTTTTGCCAAAGTTCTTCTGTTCCCTTCCACCTGCACTGGGTCGAGAGGGCATCCTAAAGCAGCGCTGGCCTTCATGATGAGCTTCTCTAGACGCTTTCTCTCAGCTGTAGATAAGCTACTGTTCCAACAGACAACTTCATAGAAGATGGCTGACATCACCACAGAGTGAAAAAAGGTCTTCAGAAGTGCCCCCCTCCAAAAGATCTCCTCAGCAGTCTGCTCTGACCCTTCCTGTAAAGAGCATCAGTGTTGTGACTCCATTTATTGTTCAGGTGAACATCCGTGTACTTATAAGAGTCTGCTCTCTTAATGTCAGTTCCCTGGATGTTCACTGGTGTCGGTGTGGTGGGTCTGCACCTGCGGAAATCCTACACCAGCTCCTCGGTTTCCCACATTGATCAGAAGATGGTCCCGCTGGCACCAGTCCACACAGTCCTGAATTCAGTATCTGTATTCTGAGTCATCCTCACCTGTTATGAGGCCAGCTATGCCAGAGCTATCAGTGAGGTAGTCCACTAACCACTGGGACAGCTCCAGCTTCTACCTTAGAAGTCCAGGCTGGATGGTGTTCAAAGCACTGGAGATCCTCACAGTGGTTCCAGGCTTCTCCAGCTGGGTCAGAGTTCGGTGCAGGACGTAGATGGTGGCATCATCCACTCCGATTCTAGGCTGGTAAGCAAACTACACCAGATCCAATGAAGACTGAAGGAGGGGGCAAATATGTTTGAGGACCAGTCTCTTGAGGGTCTTAATCAGATGGTAGGTCAGTGCTACCAGCCTGTGGCTGCTGAGGTCCTCCGGATGCGTGGTCTTTGGTACTGGTACCATATAGGATGTCTTTCACAGCTGTGGTACTTTCCCCAGCTTCAGGCTCGTGTTGAACATGTATTCCATGATGCCAAACAGTTGGTCAGCGCGGCACCTCAGGAGCCTGGAGCTGATTCCACTTGGACCTTCAGCTTTTTGCATCTTGATCTCTCGCAGCTCGTTTCTCACCTGAAGTTTTGAAAGGGACAGGATGGTGTTGGAGGAAGGGGGGCGTGGGATGGAGTCTTTTGAAGCAGAGGTGGCGGATGATGGCTGAGGGCTAAGAAGTCATGGGAAGAAAAGCTGGTACTGGTTGCAAATAGGATGTTTGCAACAGAGATGATGGGGCTGGGGGAGGGCCGAGTGTTTGGTCAAACTTGTTAAAGAACTGCTTCAGGTCATTCACCCACCCTAAATCTCCTACAGCCTGGGAGTTTGGTTTGTGACCTGAAAAAAAACCCAGCTGATGCTGTTCTGCTGAAGTTGGTCCTCCATCTTTTTCCTATAGATGTTTTTTCCACCCCTGATCTTCCTTCTCCGTTTCTTCTGCACCGCTCTCAGCTCCTCTGTATTTCCTGATCTAAAGTATCTCTTCTTCTACTTGAGGAGAGCCTTTATTTCAGGGTTGATTCAGGGCTTGTTGTTGGAGAAACACTGTACCTTCAAAAGGGGCAGAGTGTCATCCACACAGAAGTTAATGTAGTCAGTGATTATGGATTATGGTGCAAATCCTCATGTTGAGGATTATCACTGGCGATGAAAGCTGAATCTCACACTATGACCCTTAAGACCAAACAACACTCTTGACCTCGTGGAGTCCAGTTCTTCAGAGAGCACATCATGTCAGGAATGTGAACAAGAGCATGGTTATCGTTGTTTTGTTTGTGTTTCTTTCTCTTTTCTTTATTTTGAGATTGTCAGGGTTGTGCACTGCAGATGACCATAATCTGTGCGTTATTTACTGTTGTCAAGGACAAAATCCAGATTTTTCTCAGCACTAATTTTTAGATGTTGACTAGTTTGTACTTGCTTAAATATTCCATTTACCTTTATCTTATTCTCACTGGTGAATGATCAAAGAAACACAGTCTTAATAAAAGAGTATTTCTTTAATTATTACTGACTACACCCATAATAATTTTCAACCATAACTGGAATTACCATACTGTTATATTTTGAATTCCCTCCCTCCATCTTTTACTGGACACTGTTGCCTCCTGAGTGTGAGCAGAAACCATCTACAGTCGGCAAAAACATAAGAGAAATGATGCGCTTGCGCTCGGTAATACCTTAAAGGAAAGAGCTTTGAATTCATGATAAATTATTGCTTTCATCACAGACTTCTCATGGTGCTCCCAGTCATTAAAACTCAAAAAACCTCAAAGTTAAATGAGAGTATTTTTAAATTTCTAGTCCCATATAATTTTCAGCTAAATTT